TTGGAGTCGATTCAAGCCTATCATTGATGCATATAGTGGTCCAATGAAAGATGAGTATCGGTTCTGGCCTGGTCTACTGCTAGTGGCTAGGATACCAATCCTTCTCTCTGTTACTTTAATGGACAGTTTGATTCAGTCACACAACTTCCTATTGTCAATGCTCCTAACAGTACTTGCTATTGTTTTTTCGCTGGGGTTTTGTTTAAGAGGTGTCTATAGGAAAAGGATACACGATATGATTGAAGCTTGGTTCCTGTTCAATTTGTGTGTCATGGTTGGTCTATCTGTAGTTTATACTGATGACAGTGCGGTAGGGATCTGGTTCAACACTTGCTTATCTCTTTTTACCTTTAGTTTTATGCTAATTGCTTTGTATCATCTCTACTTGCAGCTATCACAAACAAAATGGTACGATACACTAAGGAAGAAATCATTCAGTCGACTACAAGTGCATAGATACGAAGATGACGAGCCTCTTTTAGACTTAACTGAGTCGCACAAAACTGTTGATGAGCAAAAGAACGAAATTATACCAAGCTCCACAGATATTTTCAGACACGATAGTCATGAATCTGTTGTTGATCTGTTTTGAACTGTGTCTAGCTAGTATTAAAAAATATTGTGATTGTTTTGTCAATTTATCAGTCTCATTTGCTGCTGTTTATTGATTTAATATTATTTGCTTTTAAGACCAATTTTTCATAAAAATAATTGCTATATTTATTATGTTGTAGATGTACTCAGTGGGTTAGTGATGAGTTTAGGCAGTCATTGGAATCATTTGAGTCCTCTTGGTATCCTCATGAAGTAGCTTATCTTCAGTCATCGTTTGATCTTAATCCTCTGTTCACTCCACCCTCAGCCACACCCACTGCACCAAGGAAAGAACCAGTCATTGACTCACTGTGCTCAGTTTTATGCGACATTTTGAGTTCACACTGTCATAATCTTTCACAGCCACTTCAAGTAAGCACTTGATCAGTATTTCTAAAATTGACTTTGAAAAAACACCCTCTTATTCTGATGTATATTGATGCCTTTATGCTATTTAGAAGTGCCAAGCTTCAATAGGATTGCATGTGTTGTATAGAAATTTTGCCAAAAATGACTAGGAGAGAATTTTCCATTTTATAATTTTTTTTCTGATACACATACATGTTCTTATGTTGTGTAGCAAGTTTGAGCTGATTCCAATCAAAATTGGATTTTTTAATGAATTTTTTAAAGTTACTCAAAAATTGGGCCAAAGTCCCTGTACTATAGTACTGGGTCGTCGGCCAAGTTTCGCCAAAAATGACTAGGAGAGGATTCTTCATTTTTATAATTTATTCCAATACATATACATGTTCTTATGTTGTGTAGCAAGTTTGAGCTGATTCCAATCAAAATTGGATTTTTTACGAATTTTTAAAGTTGCTCAAAAAAGCCATGTACATGTCTATTGTGGTGCTTGTCAACTGATGGAGCATGCATTTTAGCTTACTTAGCATGCTTAATGGGAAACCCTGGTTTGAAGCATTGTTTGATTTTTTATTCTTATAGGCTCCTACTACACATGAGAATAAGTTAGGCTGCCTAATGGAAGCTAAGGTTTACTGTTGCTCACTGGTCCTTCATGTGGTGACACTTCTTCATTACATTGGATATCCTGTGGAAACAACCTCTATATATCAACTAGGACCAGTTAGTTGATAATAGCAAGTACTTTAGTGTGTTTTAGGCAAAATTAAATGGATTAGCTGTGTATGTTTTAAATATTTGCATTGTGTTTGGATTCTTTTAATCTCTTTGTTTCTCAACAGTCACTATTGAAAGAGGTTTCCTCTCACTTGAAGGATCCAATATGGTCTGAAGCTGATTCCTCGTACTATCAAACTGTTGTGAAAACTCACCTTAAACACTTGTCATCATTAGTCAGTGATTCACTTGTAAGTACGTGTCCTGCCTCTGAGGTTCTGGCCTATTATTATGTACCCTTTTATAAGGCCATCATACACGGTCTATTATACACTTTGTACAGATTACATTGTATGATTCTATTTATTTTTAGGCTACTGAGTTTAAAGATTACATTCAGTCATTTATTCCACTAGAAACTGTTCAAGATATCATTTTAATAAGTAAAGGAAAGGTCAGCCATTGCTCTGTTGTTGATTCTCCATTCATTCTTTCCTTCTCATCCAGTTTGCTAGTTGGGTAAGATCAATATCAATGGATAGCAGCAGTGCATTCAGTGCCACTGAGTCTACCAGTAATCTTTCTTTGGGATTAAACAGACATGTATCATCAGCCAATGATGATGATGATGCTTTTGAGGATGATTTTATGGACAGTGAACCATCTACTCACTCTGACATGTCTTCCTTGAGCCCTGTCTCCCATCACAACCTCAATATACTCTCCCCCTCACTGCTCAGTAGCAAAGCACTCGTACAGCAGGAGGCTTGCGTATTACTAGTCAAATGGTCATATTTAGTGAGTGAGTGTGGCTCGCTGTGTTGGAGCTCAGTAAAGAATATTATGAATGATGTGAGTTGTGCTATATATTAATGATTATTCTTATGCATTATGAATAGAATGCTTCCTATCTTTATTTTATTGTAGGATTCTGTTAATGTTAGTTCAGTAGTGACAGTTCAGTTAATATTAGCAATAACTAGTAACATATTACAGTCTCCAGTGCCACTCCCCCAGGAAGCTATAGGAATGATATTACAATCACTGAGGTAATGATACAGGAAATGTGTCTGAATGAAATCCTATTTATTAGTGTTTGTCTTATAGAATTGATTTTTATCTTTCTTTTAGCATTGTGTGATTAAGTATGTGTATATGCATTTTTGACAGGAAAGTTTTGTCCAAGCATCGCAAGAATTATTTCATTCACAAGGAGGCATTAGTATTACTCAAGAGATTAATAATTGGTTCTAACTGGAGTATGGAGCAATCAGATTGCTTGAGCTTATTGTCAGCGTTCTGGTTAGTTTCATATTTATCTGTAATTCTGTATCTGTGTCCTATTACATGTATGTCGTATTCATGGTGCACGTGTTAATGCCAAATGTGATTTTACTTTTGTATACCACCTACACATACCATAATACCAATACTGTTTAAATCTATTTTATTTTGTTTATTTACACCTATGTTGTTGGTTTATCTAGTGGTTTCTCAGTTTATGTACTGGTGGTGATATTATTTATTTAGCATAGGAGCAGGATGCTTGTGTAGCCTCCTTTCTTGTAACAAAATGAAAGAAAAATAAATGAGTTTAAACTTTATACCTAGACATTTGACATACTCTAAACTGCATGTATTTATGTTATATAAGTATATAAAGCATCAGTCAGTAGTATCCAACTCTATATGGATGGGATGAGACTTGTGGTCCTGTTTCCGGGATCTCATAAATCATATCAACATTGCTGCTAGTACTGGTAGAGTAGTAGTTGTTGGTAGTGTTTGGTACTTCATCGCTCATCATTTCGTAAAATGGATTCTCTTTAATGGTAACAGGAATTTCAACAGTCTCTTGTTGAGTGCGAGGCTGCATGAAGTTTTCAGACCTTGTTTTACCTTTATGACATTTAAATAATTCTTTATTACATCTTTAGCATTCATTTTACCTCTTTTCTTGAGTATTATTATTACTATCAGTATGAAAACAGCACATGTTGTTAGCCCAAGGAGGCTTCCAAGTACTATATTAATGATCAGTGATTGACCTATTGAGACTGAATGCATATATAATTAAAGAAAGTTTGAACTGGTTTGTACTTTGATTATCAATATGTGACCATAATTGACAAAAGGTACCTTATGGCGGATTTTTAAATTTATCATTATAATGAAAAATATCAGCCTGTGAGTGCTCTGTTAGTCAACCATTGTCTCTAAAAGTTACATAGGAACTTTTTGCATCCTCTGGAGTAATTTTATGATAAATGGAGCTCAGGAAGTTGCATTTTTAAGGCTATAGAGACCAATTTTCCTATTCGACAAAAGGTACCTTTTGTCAATTATGGTCACATATTAGTAGTAGTGGTAGTGCTGACTAATGCTGAAGTAGACAGGGTAGGAGCAGCTTCTGTTGGGAATTTATTATCAGTGATTTTTTGTTTGGTGTATTTCTAAAATACGTAATATGTTTTTCTTACCTTTACCTGATGATTCAGATCCATCAACTGTGTTTTCTATTTTTATGTTATACAGTTCAGAGTTCATTACTCTTGTTATTACTAACTAACCTGTGTCTGATGGTTCAATCCAGTCCACTGTATATTGTATAACTACTGCTGGTGTCAGTATTATTAGTCCATTCTCAATATCATGTGCATATACAGTGTATGTTCCATTATCAGTAAATGAATAACATGTTCCATTAGTTTGTGTTGATTGTGGTATCAGTGTTGTTGCTACTGATGCTATCATTACTTGGCATTCATTAAACATTTCAGTAACACAAACAAAACAGACAATACCCTCACTCCTCTTTATCATTATATCCTTTACATTATATCTGCCTACAATAAAGTGACTAATTTACATTGTAATATGTAATCTTACTTATTTCTGTTAAATCAGAGCTGCTGGTTCCATATGTACCAATTGCTGATACTGTTAGGTAATACAATGAGTTTCTGTTCAGTTTTATATTCCAGTGTACTATATAAAACTCATCAATATATTGAAGACTATCAATATCCATTGGATCTGTTGTGTTAAAACTATTAGCTCCAGCTAGAAGTAACTGTATGTCATTATTAAAGCACTGGTGTATCTAATATAAATAGTATTATTGTGTGCAGTCAATGCATGTATGAAAGTACTCTTACTTGAAATCTTATTACTAAAGTTTCATTTTTAAAGTATAATGCAGATACATTCTCAGGTTTTGGTGTCAATGCTATAATTAAGAATGATTAGTATTGCAATATATTAATAAATAATTGTTACCTGTAGATATGACTTTAAAGCTGTCATTGCAGCTTGAGTTAAACAGTTCTAGTTTGAATGTATATACATTACAAAGAGACAGATCTTCGGTGTAATTATACTTATTATTATATTCAGTAACATTAATAATATTGTTAACTGTTTGATAAGAATCAGTGATACTCAGAATAAGTATACTGTTATTATTAGGAATATTCATTTCCCATGACACAATGATACTGTGAGGTGTAATGGATAAGAACTCGAACTTATCTATAACTATAAATATAATTAAAACTATTATAATGTACTATAATATTTATTATCGATACCTTGATCAAGCCTGTATACAATATTAGCCCATCCTGATACTACATCATAGCAGTCTATGTTGTTAACATTATTAGTAAGTGATAATGGATGATTGATGTAATACCCATCACCACTATTGATACCAACACCAGCATCATTCCTTGTCCAATTTATGAGTCCACACTTATATATAAACACAGCATATGTGGCATTACTTTGAAAAGCTAATACAACTTGATAATGATTAGACTATAAGAAAATTGTTATCAATTAGATACTAGCTGTCACACAGTCACACTATATATTAACCTGAATATTGTCGCAGTCAGTATTACCATGTGGACATACATCATACCAGTAGGCCCACAGTATCCATTCAACAGATACACTACTACCAGTTGAAGTAGATAAGTAATCATTGACTTGATTACACAATGAAGGATTTGTTGTTGGAGTTATAACAGCATAACGTACTTCACCTCTCTCACCACCTAAGTCATTGTCATCCCAATATGGAGCAATGATTGGGATAGTAATGAGGAAGAGATTTGGACGGTAGTCAGTATATTTAGTTCTCAAGCTAATCAATCCATTAGTACTTACCTGTAATAAATACACAGTTATACATATATACAGAGTGTCATACTTACCCATGCATCTCTATAGCATGATAATCCAAACTGCAATGGTGAAGGTAAGGACACATTAATAGCATAATCATCCCAATTCCTTATTGGTAAATAGTTAGTAGGGTTTAGGAAGGGAAGGTAGTTATTCTCAGAGCTAACAAGGAGACCATTGAAGTAGATAAGTATCACAAACACTATCATCATCATTTTTTTGGTGCAGAATTGGATCAACTTACACTGTGCTCTTGTGTTGCTTCAATAGCCTTGTTTTATAAACTATTTTTAATAACCTGTACCTAGTTATTTAAAACTATATGTGTTTTATTAATTGGCAATAAATTGTATTTATAGGGTTTATGCTTCAGTCTTTCCCATTAGAATTTGTCTCCTTAGCGTTATTTTAAAAACTGATTACTGGCAGCCTGTTTAGTTTGTATTTTGCACTATCAGATTTTTATATATTTATCAATATTGTTAGGAATTCACACACATAAATTTAAGTATTATTGTATACAGCAATAAAAATATTTACTGTTCAAACCAGTATAATGTATACTTGTCATGTGGTAGTGCTGATTTCATCATCTTCATACAAGCGAGGAGGGACTGGTGGTGGATCCTCTTCTGGTATGTCATCATATATTGGTACTACATTAGTATTACCAACATTAGTGGCATCAATGCAGGATATTTCATTGCTTTGTTGCATCATTTCATATGCTAAATTAGGTTCAGTTTTGACAGGAATGTCAATATTACCTGCTTTAGCTTCACCTTTATATTAAGAACAATTTTATATCTGATTTTAGAATCTTTACCTTTTTTTCTGAGTATTGCAACTAGTATTATTAATAAAATAATACCAGCACAGGTTGAGAGTGCAAAAAGAACTCCAAGAACTGTACTAGTGTATGACTGATCTGTTTCAGTGACTGCATGATGTGTGTATAATGCCTTATGATCAGAGTGAATCTAAAATTACTTGTATTATCTGTATTGGTTATGTTTGGTAGCACAGAGTTGTGATTGCTATTTGATGAAAATTGATTATTTTGACTGTGTTGTGTGGCTAAAGTTTTAATACTGGAAAAAACTATTTCTATAAATTATTATAACAATTTATACATTAATCAATTTCTAACCGGGTTTAATCCATTTACTGGCCAATGTATCAATACTTGAAAAAATCATTTCTATAAATTATGATAATAATTGTTATATTACTAACTAACCTGTGTCTGATGGTTCAATCCAGTCCACTGTATATTGTATAACTACTGCTGGTGTCAGTATTATTAGTCCATTCTCAATATCATGTGCATATACAGTGTATCTTCCATTATCAGTAAATGAGTAACATGTTCCATTAGTTTGTGTTGATTGTGGTATCAGTGTTGTTGCTACTGATGCTATCATTACTTGACATTCATTAAACATTTCAGTAACACAAACAAAACAGACAATACCCTCACTCCTCTCTATCGTTATATCCTTTACATTATATTTACCTACTGTTTGTACAAATATATAGATTGGCATTGTGGTGCTGCTATCTTACTAATTTTTGTTGCATCAGAAGTAATAATTTCATGTGTACCAATTGCTGATACTGTTAGGTAATATGATAAATGACTCTTGAGTTTTATATTCCAGTGTATAATATAATACTCATCAATATATTGAAGACTGTTAATATCCAGTGGCTCTGATGTGTCAAAACTATTAGTTCCAGCTAGAAGCAACTGTATTTGATGTCTAAAGCAATAATGTATCTAACAGAATTAGTATTATTATTTAGTGTCGTATAGTTTTTATGATATTCTTACTTGAAATCTTATTACTAAAGTTTCATTGTTAAGATATATTGCTGATACATTATCAGGTTTTGGTGTCAATGCTATAGATTAATAAAAATGATAGTGTTTGGTTATAATTTGGTTACTGTACCTGTAGATATGATTTTAGTGTTGTCATTATAACATTTAATTTCTGTCTTTGATAGTGTCAGTTTGAAGGTATAAATATTACAAAGATGTATATCTTCAGTATAATTATGTACGTTATTGTTATATTGGGTTACACTAATAGTATTGTTCACTGTTTGATAAGAATCAGTGATACTCAAAATAGTCATGGAGCTGTTATTAGGAATAATTTCCCATGATACTGTAAAACTATATTGTGTAATGGATAGGAATTCAAACTTATTTATAACTAATTGTCCTAAAAGAGTATAATTCTTGGCATGCATGAATTTTCAATATACCTTGATCTATTTTGTAAACAACATTAGTCCATCCTGATACTACATCATAGCAGTCTATGTCAGTAACACCACCAAAGGTATTAGATAGTGGATGTGCAATATATGAATTGGAGTCGAAGTATATCCCAATAAAAGCTGAAACAAATGTCCATCGTATGAGTCCACACTTGTATATAAACACAGCATATGAGGCATTGCTTTGAAAAGCTAATGCAACCTGGAAATAATTAGACTACAGGAAAGATATTAAAATAATACAGTAATTTTTAAATATAAACCTGACTAGTGCCGCAATTCCTATTAGTAAAAGGACATACGTCATACCAGTAGGCCCACAGTATCCATTCAGCTGATACACTACTACCAGTTGAATTAGATAAGTAATCATTGACTTGATTGAAGATGGATGAATTTGTTGCTGGAGTTATAACAGCATAACGTACTTCACCTTTGTTCAATAAGCTAACGGCATCATTATATGGAGCAATGTAAGAATTATAATTGGAGCCGAATCTGATGTATCCTCGATCACTGATCTGTGCATTGTTAATCAGATGCATTATGTCAATAATAGAATGCTATACTCACCCATGCTTCCTTGTAACATGATGATCCAAAATGAAATGTTAAAGGTAATGACACATTTTTTTGATTCTTATAACGATTAATTACTGAATAGTTAGTAGGATGCAGGAAAGGAAGGTAGTTGCCCTCAGAGCTAAGAAGGAGACCATTGAAGCAGATAAGTATCACAAACACTATCATCATCATCTTTTGGTGGATCAATTTACACTGTGCTCTTGTGTTGCTTTTAATAGCTTTGTTTTATAAACTATTTTCAATAACCTGTATCTAGTTATTTAAAACTATATGCGTTTTATTAATTGGCATTAAATAGTATTTATAGGGTTTATGCTTCAGTCTTTCCCATTAGAATTTGTCTCATTAGCATATTAAAACTGATTACTGGCAGCCTGTTTAGTTTGTATTTGCACTATCAGATTTTTATATATTTATCAATATTGTTAGGAATTCACACACTCATAAACTTAAGTATTATTTTACACAGCAGTAAAAAGAATCTACTAATCAAACCAGTATAATGTATACTTGTCATGTGGTAGTGCTGATCTCGTCATCCTGAAACAAGCGAGGAGGGACTGGTGGTGGATCCTCTTCTTCTGGTATAGCATCATATATTGGTACTACATTAGTATTACCAACATTAGCTGCATCAATCTCAGAGTACAGTGGTATTTCATTGCTTTGTTGCATCGTTCCATATGCTGAATTAAGCTCAGTTTTGACAGTAATATCAATATTACTTTGAGACTTAACTTTACCTTTTAAAAGCAAGAACAATTTTATATCAGATTTTATCTTTTTTACCTTTTTTTCTGAGTATTGCAACTAGTATTATTAATAAAATAATACCAGCACAGGTTGAGAGTGCAAAGAGACCTCCAAGAACTGCACTAGTGTATGACTGATCTGTTTCAGTGCCTGCATGATGTGTGTGTGTGTGTGTGTGTGTGTGTGTGTGTGTGTGTGTAATAGTACCTTATGATCAAAATGAATCTAAAATTACTTCTATTATCTGTATTGGTTATGTTTGGTAGCACAGAGTTGTGATTGTGTTGTGTGGCCAAACTTTTAATACTGGAATAAACTATTTCTATAAATTATTCTAACTGGGTTTAATTGATTTAGTGGCTAATGTATCAATACTTGAAAAAATTATTTCTATAAATTATGATAATAATTGTTATATTACTAACTAACCTGTGTCTGATGGTTCAATCCAGTCCACTGTATATTGTATAACTACTGCTGGTGTCAGTATTATTAGTCCATTCTCAATATCATGTGCATATACA